TAATTAGTTTTTGTTTTATTTTAGTAATTAGCTTATGATTATATTTATAGTTAATTAATATTGAAAAACGAAATAATAAATATATATATTTTTCATTTTAAGTATTATATAACACATGCATGCATTTTAATCTTGTGTTCAATTAGTTTTTTTTTTAGTAGTTAGCTTTTGACCTACCGTATTTAATGGTACTGAGATTATTTTTGCCTAATAACTTAAAATGTATTTTATTACATAAATATTTTCTCCTGTTTCTTCTGCAACCACTGATTATAATTTCATAGTTTAATTCATTTTTGTTGTTTTCTACACATATGCATTAGATAACCAAACGAATAACGTTTATATATATCTTAACCGATTACTTAAATGGAGAAAACAATCAAACCTACTATATGCTTTTACAACAATGAAGTTACAATAAACATAATATCTTAAAATATTTCTTCAAATTTAAATTTATTTTTGGGAAAAATACGATGAATTTGCTAGAACTATAATTTATATCTTTGTTAGTTATATATATAGTTCCATCTATTTTATGTTTAAAATATATAAAAATATAGTTAGCAATTATTTTATTTTTCAGTTTGTTTTCTATATCTATATTCATTAAAATATGTAACAGAACTTGAAATTTATGATGAATAATATTATGTAAAAACATAATTATTTTCTACTAATATATGACAACACAAATATCATTTTATCTTGTATTTAATTCAATTTTTTTTTATATTAGAATTCATTAAAATTATTTTTCTAATTATTCCTAAAAACAACATAATAGTTTAGAATTAAAAAATATTTATATAGGAAAATTAATATTATTTTTCAAAATTTTAGATATGGCGTCTAACCGTGGATAAAACACAGAAACATCATTGCGGGTAAGATATTTATTATCATATTTAAATTTGTAGTTTTGTTATAAATTAGGTGAATAATACATTATCGATTTTTGAATTTTCTAGAGTGAAGAATATATTGAAATGGGATCATAGACGAGAAAGAAAATTTATTGAGTTATACGACCAAGCACTTGCTATGAATAAATATCGTCTAAAAGACCCGTTACCACTTGGTAAAGAGTTTATAGTTGACAAGTTCGGCCAAGAGTTTAATCTTGATATAAACTACAAGTTTTTTCGAGAAAAGCTTGATCAAATGAAAAGCTTGATCAAATGAAAAGAAAGTACAAGAAAGTTCTCCACCAGAGCTTTCATTTCAAAATCATGCTTCCGAAGGTCAACAACAAGGAAGAATAAGACGTGAAAGTGCTGCAAATAGAGTTGTTGGAAGTTCACGAACCTCTACAAAGACCAGCTCACGAGGTAGTCATAAGAAACAATCAATTCAGACAACTCTAACAGATACGATTGATGGTTTTAGAGAGTTTCAACGCCAAAGTTTACAACAAATACGTCCAGATTATTTTGATCAAGATAACTATGACAAGTGCGACATGGCGATCAAGATCTTAGAATCGATGGAAGTTGCAAAAAAACACTGATTTTTATTGGGCATGCATTCAAGCCTTCAAAGATGACAGGTTTTGGCGAAAATATTTCATTGATAGAGCTGACAACAGTATTGAAGATAAGTTACAGTTTTTGCAAGCTCTAACTGGATATACACGAGACAACGAGTTTGTTGGAAAGCGGTTAGCCTCAGCTCAAAATTCTGGAAGTCCAAATTTAAGTGGTCGTTTTTCTGGTAGTCCATCTTCCGGTGGTAATAATTCATGAGGTCAAACTTCAGGTGGACCATGGGGCCACGGTTCTCAACCATGGTGTACACCTCCAAATGTTCAACAATGGGGTTCATCATCACATGTTTCACAATGGGGTACATCTCCAAATGCTCAACAATGGGGTTCATCATCAAATGTTCCACAATGGGGTACACCTCCAATTGTTCAGCAATGGGGTTCATCATCCAATGCTCCACAATGGGGTACACCTCCAAATGTTCATCAGTGGGGTTCATCATCAGATGTTCCACACTAGGGTGCACCTCCAAATGTTCAGCAATGGGGTTCATCATCAAATATTCCACAATGGGGCACACCTTCAAATGCTCAACAAAGGGGTTCATCATCAAATATGTGGGGTACACCTTCAAGTGTTCAGCATGGATTTTCAGTGGAACCAGAAGTAGAGAAAATTACGAATGAGAAACATAGAGATTCGCTAGAAGTAGACGGTCACACCTCAGCCAACATTCATAGGAGCGTATCGCCAGAATTCGGTTTCACAAATTATTCTTCAGGAGCACAAATACCAAGAACACGCAGAAGAGGAGGATTATTCAATATCTGGGGAAATAAAAAAAGGACCAAATTTAATGAAAGTCAACAAAATGAATCTGAAGATGAAGATTAGTTTAGTGGAGTTTTTTGTTTTATTAGCAATTATGTTATGTTTCACTTTATGTTTTTATAATATCAATTGAGTATTATGAATTATTCCTCGATTTCAAATAAGTTATAACTTGTGCTTAAAATATTGATTTAATATTTACAAAGTCGTTAATTTTTATTTAAATCTTATCTCGTGTTTATAAAATTGCAGGCATTTCGTATATGTCAGTTGCGATCATATAGCGTTCAATATCTAAGTTATGAAGAGCGAATTGAGTTGTGGAATTTGGAAAATGAGCAGTTTGAAGAGTTAATAGTTCAACCATCTTTAAGTTATTACAATCGGTATTTTAAAATAGTACCGACTCAAACTAATGGTGGTTTGGGATGGAGAAACATCTGGGATCGATTACAGGAAGATAATGGTGCTTGTCTTCAACTATTACGAATGCCTTTTTGTGCTTTTCGCACATTGTGTGAAAAATTACAAACGACTTATGGCTTACAACCAACATTAAATGTAAGTACTGAAGAGAGTGTGGCCATGTTTCTAAAGATATGTGGACTTAACGAAGTTCAAAGAAATGTTGGATTACAATTTGGACGAACGCAAGAGACAGTGAATCAGAAATTTTTTTGCTTCAAGCGACTGAATTGCTTGCTTGTGACTATATCAAGACTCCAACAATACAAGAACTAAGACGGATCCCAGAACGACTAGTAATGGATGAGAGATATTGGCCATATTTTAGTGGTTTTGTTGGAGCTATGGATGGAGTTCATGTATGTGTTAAAGTGAAGCCTGAAGTTCAAGGAATGTATTGGAATCGGCATAATATTACATCGTTTAATATAATGGCGATATGTGATTTGAATATGTTATTTACATATGTTTAGAATGGAGCACCAGGTTCATGTCACGATACAGCAGTTCTCACAATGGCGCAAGACAATGATTCTAACTTTCCTTTACCTCCAGCCGATAAGTACTATCTCGTTGACTCTGGCTATCCAAATAAACAAGGCGTTTTGGCTCCTTATAGGTCTTCACGAAATGGGGTTGTTAGGTATCATATGTCACAGTTCGAAAGTGGTCCACCTCCGAGAAACAAACAAGAGTTATTTAATCGGTATCATGCATCTTTGCGTTATGTTATTGAGAGGACATTTGGAGTTTGGAAGAAAAAATGGAGGATTCTTCGTGACTTCCCGAGATATGATATCGATGTTCAAAAAAGAGTGGTGACAGCGACAATGGGATTACATAATTTTATTAGAATTTCAAATTTTTCTGATGAAGATTTTGCTGATACAGTGCCACATACTAAGATTGTCAATGCTACTGCTATGACTGAACAAAATGATATGGAAGATGCTGAAATGGGACAAGGAAATTTTATGACAAACATTAGAGAAATTATTGCAAATTCATTATGGGCAAACCAAAATCACTGATGTTAATTTTTTTAGTTTTATTGTATGTTGTAATTGTATTTTTAAGAATGTTTATTTTTTTGGTATGTATTAAGTAATAATAATTACTATTATATAATTTTTATTTTAGATATTTAAATTAATATTTTTTTTTATTTTCTATCATAAATAATTTATTTTGATAAATTAATCTAACCAGTTTGATCTGCATTTGTTCGGCATGATCTGCATTTGTTCTGCATGATCTGCGTTTCTGTTTGATCTCCATTTTTTGATCTGCAATGTCCATTCGAAGCCATAATCTGCACTTGTCCTACTTGATCTGCATGAACCGCTTGATCTGCACCGCTTGATCTGCTTTTACCATTCGAAGCCTAGGTGTATAATATCTCTCAATCCTTTTATTATATATTATATGTGATTTTCTACTATGTGAAAAAAATAAAAGAACAATAATTCATTGTTTTACCATCAACCGGCTGATGATGAAGACAAAATAAAAACAATTGAAGTCTAATTGTTAAAATTTCATTAACTTTTTAAAAGAATTCTGATTATGAACCCTTTCATAAACTAATCATTCCTAACAAATGATATCATGGATTATTGGACTGGGAAATTAAAAGTGATAATAAACCAAAAAAAGAGAAATTAAAAGTGATAATAAACCCAAAAAAGGAAAGAGAAATTAAAGTCGATTGTGGGGTCAAGATGATATGTTTTCATTCGGTGCAGATGTGATTAATAGTAGTAGTAGTCGTATGAAAAGAGCAGTTCACCGCAAAAAGCCCCTCCAGAATTAACGCCACACAGACAGACAATAAACATCAAACAAACAAAGTGCGAGAGAATTCGTTTCTTAAATTTTGCTTCTCTCTCTCTCTTCTTTTCCGAACAATCGAGTCTGACTGTTCAACTGGTTATTTGGATCTCTTATATGTGCGCATTCGCATTTCGCTTCTTCTGGTTCTGAATGATACAAACAGACATCCCTACCCTCTTCGTCGTGTTGTGTTTTCCTTGTTTCTTTGATCTGAGATTTCAACAAAAGGTGAAATTGTGCAGAGTGTCGGCTTGCACTATTTGTCTCTAGAAAAGTGGGTAACTTTTTGTTTCGCTTGGATCAAAATCGGAACAAAAAAAAAAACTGGCGAGATTACAAGCGATCGTGAAATATCTGAAGCTAATAGGAGGCAGAAGAAGCATGGGTAACGGCCCATTGATACCTATTCTAGGCTTCCTTACATGTGTCGCATTTATCTATCTCTCCTTCGGAGATCTGTGGTTCGATTACAAAAGGGAGCCGGAGCTAGGGTTCGTGAGTCGGAACGGCACGCAGTTCGTGCTGGATGGTAAGCCTCTGTATGTGAATGGGTGGAACTCGTACTGGTTCATGGACCACGCCGTCAATGATCATAGCAGGCACCGTGTGGGTGTAATGCTTGAAGCTGGATCCAAAATGGGCCTCACTGTGTGTAGAACATGGGCTTTTAATGATGGAGGCTACAACGCTCTCCAGATATCTCCTGGCAGGTTCGATGAACGCGTCTTCAAGGTTTCTCCCTCTTGCCTTCCTTCTACGCTTTCGCTTCTTGAAGAATCTTGTCTTCCTTAAAAAAGGTCTTCAAGCAGGATTAGTCATTGTTGAGCTTATTTTTAATCACAATGCCAGCTAATATGCTTATAAATAGATAAATAACAGGGCAATGCAGCATCCATTTATCTCTCTCTCTCTCTCTCTCTGCGTGTTTGATGATCGTTCATTCGATATATTCTTTGGTAGCTTGAAAGAATCTTCACTGGCTTACTTATGTCTGCATGTTTCATCTTTTGCCTATCTCTGTTTTATGCAATGTGGTTTAGGCCTTGGATCATGTAATCGCAGAAGCAAAAAGACATGGTGTTAGGTTGCTTCTTAGCTTAGTCAATAACCTCCAAGCCTATGGAGGAAAGACTCAGTATGTTAATTGGGCATGGCAAGAAGGTGTTGGCCTCAGCTCCTCCAACGATTCTTTCTTCTTTGACCCATCTATCCGCAGATACTTCAAGAATTATCTCACCGTATGTTTTTGATTCCTCGTCTCTTTCTAGCCGAGCAGGGAGTTGTTAGTGGTGTTGAAACTCTCATTTGAAAATTTTGGCAGGTGCTGCTCACCCGCAAAAACTCGATAACAGGGATAGAGTACAGAAACGACCCTACAATATTTGCGTGGGAGTTGATAAACGAGCCTCGCTGCTTTACTGATATCTCTGGGGATACTCTCCAAGTGAGTTCATTTGATTGTTTCTTGTCCCAATATCATTGATTAGTTTAGTGTTTTGCTAACCAAGTTAGTCATTTTGTGTGTGTGTGGATTCATTCCAAAAGGATTGGATTAATGAAATGACAGCATTCATTAAATCGATTGACAAGAAGCATCTTCTTACCGTAGGCCTGGAAGGTTTCTACGGTCCCAAGAGCCCAAAACGGCTGACGGTAAACCCAGAAAAGTGGGCCTCTGAGCTTGGGTCAGATTTTGTTAGAAACTCTGAGTCCCCAAACATTGACTTCGCATCGGTTCACATCTACCCTGATCACTGGTAATCAGCCTTTTTTCAATTGCTGCGTGCATGGAAGTCTTCAAACCAACACAGTTCTGATGCATTGGGTGCAGGTTTCATGATCAGGGGTTTGAAGACAAAGTAAAGTTTGTAGTGAAATGGATGCAATCTCACATTGAAGACGGGGACAAGGAACTGAAGAAGCCTGTTCTCTTCACCGAGTTCGGGCTCTCGAATCTGAACAAGGACTATGAGCCGTCGCAGCGTGATCGGTTCTACAGAACAATCTTTGATGTTGTGTACAAATCAGCCAAACGCAAGAGGTCAGGCGCAGGAACACTGGTGTGGCAGTTTTTGATACAAGGCATGGAAGGATTCAACGATGACTTTGGGATAGTACCCTGGGAGAAAGAATCAATCCAGACACTAATGATTGAGCAATCTTGCAGATTGGCTCGGGTCACAGGACGGCATCTTCAAGACAAGAAGTGGAGAGAAATATGTTCGCACAGACCATGAGACTGCGAAATACAGTTTTTTCTTGTGGTCGGCCTGACCATATATACAAAGGGATTCAAATCATATATATAATATAAGTAGTGAATTTAGTGGACATTTCTGTTGTTTGAGCTTACGTTGTGTGATCTGTAACAAATTTTCAGAATATGTAAAGCCATACGAGAATTCGTGATCAAATTTCAAATGCAACGGTTAAGATATAAAATTTCAAAATATGATCAAATATAAATCAATCTGAGTATTTGAGTTCCCTCATGTAATACATTTTTAATTTAGGTACCTGATGGGATCTTTAGTATCACATGTAGCCATGTAGGCATGGCAAAAGAATCGGAACCAAGATCCGAATAGAAAACAAACCAAAATTCCTGAAACCAAAATTGGACCTAAACCCTCAAATATCCAAACAATTCATATATTTTTATATGAAAAATAATCTAATCAAACTGAGAATGAAAACATATCCAAAAGATATAAAAATATAAATTATATATATATATATATATATATATATATATATTTTAAAAAAAAAATCTATTAAAAACAAAAATATTTGAAAGATAATTGTTGAAGATGATTTGAACTACCTGAAAATCATCTAAAAGGATACATATATTTTTATCCCAAATATCTAAATAATCTAAATTATTCGATATTTTTATCCAATCATATTTATTAATTCGACCATTTATCAGAAATACTTACAATTTATATGAATTGCTATCTGAATAACCGAATTGAAACTGGAACCAAAGAAACGTTTTTTTGGGCATTGTTCGATTGCTAATTTTGCTATCTGAACCTCAAACTATCTAGACCGGATCTAAACTGAAAATTAATCATGTAGTAAATTGATCTTTTAACCCTTATCAAAATACCCAAAACCAACTGAACCTATATCCAAAATATTCAAGCCTAATCACAAGTGTTTGAATTTGTTATGGACATTTTTAAATATGTTTAAATATTTTTATTTTTTTGGATTTTTTCATGTGTTGGTACATTTCTGTTATGTGAAACCTGAAATCGTAAATATAGTAAAACAAAATCTATTCAGATGTTTAACATATATTTAGTACGAGTTAAATTATTTTTCTCTCTATTTTATATTAAATATCATTTTAGTTTTGTGTATAGAGATTACAAAAATTATTAATTTTGTATATTTTTATATAAAAACATAGTTATCTATGCACTTAACTATTAAATTAGTAGAAAAATAAATTGTAATATTAAATTAATAAATTTTATATTAAAAATTGAAAATACTATTTATTTTATAATGAAAATAATTTCTATTGATATAACATATAAAACGGAGGAAGTATACTTTTGGGGTCGGTTAAGGTTTTTTCTGTTTTCCGGTTTGGTTTTTCTGTTTTCCCCTAAATTTTAGATTGTAAATAACACCTACGTGTTTCAAAGAAAAGAAATAACACCGACAATCTAGAGAGCAGCGCCGTGGTTGGGATTATAACTCACCGCCGACGAACAACGACTCTGATGGCCACTCTCTCTCTCAATAATCTGCTCCCCAAATCATTTCCTCCACAGTTGCCAACCTTCACTTCACTCAGACCAAATCTCCTCAGATTCGACTCATCAAACCTGACATGTGGAAGCCATCGGAGCAGGAGGAGACAACAAAATCTAACCATCAGATCCGTGTTCACAGGAATCGTAGAAGAGATGGGCCAAGTAAAGAATATCGGATTAGCCGACCACGGCGGATTCGACCTCAAAATCAACGCCAGAGTGGTACTACAAGACGTGAAGCTAGGCGACAGCATCGCCGTCAACGGAACTTGCCTAACAGTCACGGACTTCGACGCCGAGGAGTTCACCGTTGGGTTAGCGCCGGAGACGCTGCGGAAAACGTCGCTGGAGGAGCTGGAGATAGGGTCTCCGGTGAATCTGGAGCGTGCGTTGCAGCCCGTGAGCCGGATGGGGGGACACGTGGTGCAGGGGCACGTGGACGGCACGGGGGTGATTGTTTCGATGGAGGTTGAGGGAGATTCGCTGTGGGTGAAGGTGAAGGCGGATAAGGGTTTGTTGAAGTATATTGTTCCCAAGGGGTTTGTGGCGGTGGATGGGACGAGTTTGACGGTTGTGGATGTGTCTGATGAGGAGAGCTGTTTTAATTTTATGTTAGTTGCGTATACGCAGCAGAATGTGGTGATTCCGACCAAGAAAGTTGGGCAGAAAGTGAACTTGGAGGTTGATATTATGGGTAAATACGTTGAGAGGCTTCTCTCCACTGGCGCCTTCTCCACGCCTTAGGTAATTACAACAATACTCAAAGCTTTCTTTTTTTTTTAATTTGGGTAGGAACCAGTCTTGTCTTTCTTCTTTTAGTGATTTCTCTCTCTAGCCATTTGACTCGGACTAGTTTACTATGAGGTGATTTGAGAGGGATATGTTTGTTCGAGTATCTCATATATAGCTGAAGTGCTCTTGTATGGGTTACAGGAAAAGAAGGGCTGAAGCTCAGCTATGGTGAGGAGAAGCTTAGTTGGCAACCGTTGGTCTATGTAAGATTGGTCCTGACCTCTGTTTCTTTGTAATAATAGCTGCTACAAAAAACTTAAAAAAGTGAATGAACCTCATCGAATATCGAGTAATGATGATCAACTTCATTTGTGTCAATTGGAGAATAATAAGCTTATGATTGATTGCATTACCTTTTTGTTTCTACTCTTGCTTCTTCTTGAGTGTGTGTGTCGATGATAATAAAATGAAAGAACAAGGTGAATATATACATGCGGCTATTCAGTTGTATCTTATGTAGAGGGAATGGACAAGTTTCTGATGAGCTCCGTGAGTGAGTCTGACCCAAGACTTGAGTTGGACTGGCTCGCGCCAGTGCTGCAGACGCCTACCATTAAAACTGGTTTTATTGACAATGTGGCTAGATATGCCTGCTTAAATCAGAGCAGTTGGTGAATTCTCAGAAAATAAAGCAAGCCTACGAGTTTCTCATGTCATTATTCTATGGCACTGCAGCTAAAAAAAAATAGAAGAGGTCTACAGTCTCTGGACCTTGTTGTACAAGGAGCTCGACGGTTCTACAAAACTGAATACGTTAGCCTGATCAGTGCGCTCTTTAAGGTGGAAGAAATCGAGGGTGTTTACAAGTATAGGAGATTGGGTGGGAAGCTGAACACTCTTTATTTGATATCTGGAAACCACACTTACTTGTGATGACAATGGAGAAGGCGGAGGACGAAGCACATGGGATGGGAGCCTTTAGCTCCCGGTTAATTACAAGATGACCGGTGAGAAGGAGAGGGCTGTGGAGAGATGGAATAAGGCGATAGAGTAGAGGTGAGCCATTCAGTATGAATACCACACGAGGTTGTGGTGATGAACTCTGTGGATTATGTAGAGACATGGAGTGGAGGGTTTGAGAAAGATAGTAAGCGAGCGAGGGCAAAACTAGGTTGGAAGAAAGTCGTTTCAACACTGAAGGTTGTAACCAGAACAAACATCAGAGTTTTGCTTGAGAAACCATTTGAATAAATATTATAAGCTTTTTTCTCTGTTGCTTGAGGCCTACTAGATTAATAATGTTAAATCAACTATATTAACATCCATGAGTTACAAATATATTCTTTTGATTCATATATGCTAGACTTCTCCACCAACGTATCCTCCACCTCTCATTGCCTCCACCATCTTCAAACACAATCTGTCTTTGTCCATCGCACGTGACACTTGTTCTTGTTTGTTAAGCAGTTTGAGAATCTCAGCTGCACTTTCCATATCCCTACGACCCTCAACATACTGCACGCAGGCGTAAGCCGACAGAGTCATACTGGTCTTTGGGTTCCAGCGTTCATGCAGCCTCCCCTCCAGGGCCTCCGTCACTCTCTTCCTCCTCTCCCTTTCACCATCATCCTCACCCTCCGCCAAGTTTCGCTCTAACATGTCAGTCAAACTCTCCCACGTGCTCTCCTTCTTCCCAAGCATGTTGATAGCTTTATCAGCCTCCTCTTTCATGCATCTTATCTTGTGACCAAAATCTGAAAGACCAAGATCGCCAGCTCCGGTATCCCACTCTTCCATAATCTCGTGAGCTCCATCAAAATCGTTCTTCATAGCAAAGAACTTGATCATTTCAGAACTTACAGTGGCGTCAAAGGATACACCGTGGCGTTTAGCCAATTCAGAGAGACGGTAAACGTCCTCTGTTTCACCGTGCAGACAATAGACTCTCATGAGAGCTCCATACATGTTTTTCCTGCAGTCATCATCGAGTAATTCCTCAGCCTTACGAAACAAAGACAAACTCTTATCAATAGATCCAAGTCCCATATAGAGGCATCCGGGGAAGAAGCATGTGGCCCATGGCTCCATCCTGTCCCCCCACTTGGCGAGAAACCTCTCCATTCCCACAGAGTCTTTGACGGATGTTGCGATAGCGAAACATGAGAAGAGCTTACCAAAGGGAACTCCCTGGGGTTCTAATCTTTGGTCGTCCATCTCGAGCAGGAGCTTGACAACCATGTCGTGATTTTGAGCACTGTAGTAGAGAGAGATCATGGTGTTGTAAGGTTTAGGGTTTTTGGCAACCAAACCAAGGTCTCTCATCTTCTGAAACGTGGTCTCGGCTATGCTCAGGGATCCTTGGGTTTTGCAAGAGTTCAAGAGAGCGTTGTGCACGTAAAAGTCCCTCTTCTTTAATGGAATGGTGTCCAAGAAATTGCTAGCTTCTTCAAGACCACGAAGTTTAGCAATCAAGAGAAGTCGAGTCTCGAAATCCACTGTAGATAGATTGTAAATTTTTTGGTCACTCATCCACTCCGAAACCTAACACCCAAATCCATTACAAAAAGAATAAGGATTAAACTGTTTTGTTACAAGTAGAAGGTATATATTGATTGATTGCTTGGTGGAAAGTAACTAACTAACTAACCTGGAGGGCGTGGGAGAAGCGGTCGAATTTGTGAAGGGAGGAGATGATGCTCCTGAGTTCAGAAAGACCTGGTTTGTTTCCGAGTTGTCGCCATTCGTGGAGCAAAGGGGTGAGGGAAGGCATCGAATCTGGGGCGTGTTCGATACGACGCTTGAGAGAGTCGTGAACCGGATCGGGGGAAGGAATGGTTTTGGGGAAACGAAGGAAGGACCATCTGAAAGGAAGGTTAGTCCTACTGAAGCTTCCAAAATTTTGGCGGAGAAGATGATTCATGCTCAAAGCCGTCCAGACACAGATACACTCCTTGTCCTTCTTCCTAGGTTTTCACTTGTGTCCGTGCGTCAACTATAAAGCTTTTGACTACATATATGTTTTAAAAATTATATAGATATATTAAAATAATACGCTTGTCTTCTTAACCGGAAGACTGCCACAATCAAGTTTCGATTTAATTTCGAAATTACGGGATTCCGGTTCGGTTTGAAACAATTATGAAAGTCTATTGTGTTCTGTGTAGTTCATCAGATCCTGAGAAGAGAAAGGGGCTGAGGCTGTTCGGTTAGGCACTTGAAGTTCATTCATCCAGATGGTTCATCCGGATTACTTTTAGAAATTTAGGTTTAATTTTAAAGACCAACCGGTTAGACCAAATCGAACCATCTGGCTAGAGACTTGTGATTTCATTCCTGTACTATACAGTTGAAACGATTCGTGTCTCGAGATGCATTTTTCCTCGTTATTTACTTTCAAAGCTTTTATTATTTGGGTCAAAATGCTCTAAAACATACTCGTCAAATTTCAACCATAATAAGTACCATTTTTTTTTGTCGACAACCATAATAAATCTTAACTACCATAAAGTTTGTCTTTTGGAATACCCTACTTCAAGTTTGAATTGTATTTTGCCCAGTCTTGAGTGAGGCATAGATGATGATAATCTCAACACTGCAAAATAGCAAATTCGTTGATGTTTCAAGACATGGATGCTCGAATTAGAACCCAACAAAAAAGTGATCAAAGACTTGATGATGAGACTTCAGATAATTTATCATTCACTCACTTGCTCAAGGCCAATTAATATAGCTTTGATCAGGCAATGTAGGCAAAGATATGTTACATCATCACAAGCCTCTTCCAACAACAACAACAAAATGAGTGCAAATAAGATTCCTTCTCTTTAAAAGCTCAGAATAAATATTTGTTAGAAATAAAAAAAAAATATCACAAGTTTATCAGACAATGAAGGCAAATTTTGAAACTTTATAGGCCTGCCTTATGAGAGAAACATCTTTCCATTAGTTTAGCGTGACCATTAAAAAAATAAAGACAGGAAACAAAGGATGAAAGAGCCTCAGAGTGAAAAGTTTCCATTTCAGTGGTAAAATCAAACAATGTAGGCAAACTTTTTCAATCATCATTGGCCCAATCATCTACACAACCCAGCATATAAAGACAAAGAATATGTTTACCAAGAACAAAACCGCCACTTTACTCAATTCAACATCACATATAATTGAAACACACGCATGATATAAAGTCAACAGATAATCTAAGATTGTTATAACTGGGAACTAAATGTAAAACGCTCACAGCCTTATTTAATTTTGTGTTTGTGTGTGTGTTTTTTCCTCACCGCCCACCAGCCAGGATACAGAGTTTGTTCTTATATCCCCTCCTTCGAAACCCTAGAATCCTTCTTTATACGTATGATGGATGATTACAATTAAGTGTGGTTATTAGCGATGGACCAAAATTGGGTAGAGGCCCATATGTCGGCCCAGTGAAGCTCAACATTATCCACCCGACGTGTAACCCTCCCCTTGTTTGGGAATTGGTTCAAAGTGCAAATCCATTTATCAGAAGGAAATTTCTTCTTCTCTACAGGCGTTTTCTATCTTTCTTGTTTTCTTCTCTTTTACAATTCAAATTATTCTTTTTGTTATCTATAAAAATCTGGTTTCATATTTCTTTAAAGACTTAGTTTCATGTAGGCTTAATCTTTCAATTAAAGCTGAACGTTTTAAGTACAAATTTACAAGAAATTTTCAAATAAGTCGTTTCATAACTGGAAAAATGAATAAAACGTGGAAATATTTTTGTAGATCTTATCATATCCATTGAAGAAGGTGTTGTTTACATACAACCATATCAAAGATATTCATAAGTAATTAGTGCGAAGAAGAAAGAATAAAGATAAGACACCAATTAATAATAAAGAGAAGACTTAGATCAATGCAAAATCACCCACAACAGCACCAAAAAAAAAGACAAAACTTAGTGTATCTTTTTTAGAGGGGAAAGAAAGAAAACAAAACCACACAGACGGATGAGAAGGAGGAAGGAGGAAGGAGGAAGGAGGAAGGAGGAAGGAGGAAGGAGGAAGGAGGAATCATTTGCGACGAAGTTTCTTGACTTTGGACCATCCCTTCTTGCAAGTTTTGCCGACAACTTTGATACTTTTCTTGAAGAGATGCTTCAGCTCAAGCGCCCTCATCTTCACCTGATCCTCGAATGCTCCCATCTTCTTTCTTCTCTCTATGTTCCTCGGAAGCACAAGAGATATTATTCAAGTCTGTCTTGTGCCCACATCTCTTTATTTATAAATAAAAGACAAAGGGATATACAGCTGTAAGAGTTTATTCTGAGAGCGAGATATTTTTATTAATAGCTAAATCTGGGAGAGATTTACACCTAAGCTAAAAGGCAAGCTAATCCTTGCTGTATTTATGCTCTAGAATTAATTCCCGTAAAAAAAATACTTAGGAAGGTTTAACAACATAAAAGAAAAAGATAGTAGAATATCTAAATATAGCTAATAAGCCACTAAATTAGTTTCCCTCATCGAAACAAAGATGGATTTGTACACACGTAGCATAAAAGATAACCGTTGTAAAATGGACCATTTTGCGGTGGAAAAGCTTGGGTGCAAATCCTCATCACGCTGGACCCACAAATAGACCACCCGTTTGCTTGCTGTGTGATTGCTCTTTCTTCTCTCAATCTTGTTTCCTTTTCACACTCTACTTCTTCCTTTTTGTTCTGAACCCCGTTTAACAAATGTTTTAAACTCTGTTTTTCTTTGTACAGTAATTAGTCTGTTAGATACATTTCACCTTTTGTATAAACCGACCTATCACATCCGTTTGGTAAAAGCCCTTTTTCTTCTCAGTTAAGCTAAGCTCCTCTCTTTACCATTTGTTTCTTGTTACCACCACTAATCAATACACTTTATTAATTTGAAAAGGGATCAAGATTCTCTCTTTAAGCATAACACACACACGGTTTATACGCTGTCTTCTTTACAAAAAAAAAGAAGAGATTCCATGACGTAACTGACAAGGGAAATGGCCCCACCTCTCTCTCTCATCTTGGGGGGTGTGGCTAAGAATATAGCGCAAGGAGGAGTGTAAATGCATTGTACAAGGAGTGGACGACCACCGACGAGGCTAAATTTCCTGACCAGCTGTAACATCCCCCAAGAACGCATCCTATCCCAAACAGCTGCAAAAAATCCTCACCAGAGAAGTGAGATGCTGCAAAAACTCCTGAGCTGATCACAAGAGCCTTCCTCCATTCCATTCTCGACGCTAAGGAGCTCAGTAGAAATCGTCTGTACACAATCTCCTCAAGAATGGGAGCTACAACACAGTAAAGAACAAAACACCCGATTTTCGACACATCCCCGCTTTCAATTATCTTCTCCAATTCTGAGTTGTGCACATCCTGAGAGATCAAACCACACATTGTCTTACTCTTATGTTATGTTAAAAATGCTAAAAGACAGCAATGATTTTTATTAGATCATAACATGTCATGTGGGGGAGAGAGACCTGAGAAGCAAAGAGTAGATCAGCTACAAATGATGTGAGGAAGATAAAGCACACAAGGATTCCCAAACCCAATGCTGATCCAACCACCCAGTTTCTCCCCTCATTCGAGTCATTAGTAGTAGCCATTAGAAAGTTGATTGATTTGCATTGAGGCTTGGCGGTGGTCCTCAGAAGGAAGAGGGTGAGTGAAAGTTCGAGCATTTGGAGAAGCACAAGTGATAGCACCTGTACAATGTTGCCAGCCACACCATGAATTTCAATACGAAATACAGGACCGAAAGCACAAACATATAGAAAGATAAGTGATGATATATATGATGACTGGGTCAATAACCTAATGGCACAAACATATATAGTAAATAAAGAGTGCCCTTTGCTCATCACTATAGACTAAACACATTATTTTCCAACTAAGACAAAAAAAAAAGAAGAGAGTGAGTGAGTCACAACTCACTTGGGTCTGAGGATCGTCGAGAAGAGGGTGGTGGAGGAAGCGAGCAAGGATGGATAAACCACCAAAACTGAGAGGAATGTGAAGGCAGAACATGTAAAGAGCAAATGTGCTCCATACGTTATTGTCATCCCATGGAATATCAGATGTCAAAACCGAGAACCCTTGTTCTTTCTCCAACTGTTCAATGAGCTTCCGGACATTTACATTAATTAAACTCAATTATCCGCTAAAACTGAGGAGATTGGTAAAATAGAGAAAGTGAGGGACTACTAACCTGGGTAGTTTCTTGTGTGGATTTGCTATTGAGACAAGGGATGGATCTCAACCAACGACGACAATAAGTGGTAGAGGAGAGAGGACGAAACTCTGAATATGGTAGTCGTCGTAGGAGGGAAGTACTAGCCACCACCGGCGTGAGGGAAAGCCATGGGGATAGAATCATGGAGGACCTGAGAGAGGTCGGGTCACCCTTCATTTCATTTCCAAAAGTAACCGACGTGGATCTTTTCTGTGGTCTCAAATTTTTGTGTGTTTTTCTATTTCTCAAATAAATATAATTTATTTTTTTCCTTTGTTAGGAAAAATAAAAGGGAACAAGTATCGTGCTTGATTGGATTTAGGGATTGAGAAAGAGGAAGCAAGGCGGTTCTTTTTCTCGATTTCTCTTCTTCCACCGACCGACAGAAGAAGAAAATTAATCAGGTCTCTTCGTCTGGGTGAAAAAAAAAGAAACGATGGTGAGGATGGTGAGAAGCTGCTTACAGTCGATGCTGAAGCTGGTGAATTCGCTTCTTGGGATGGTTGGTGTCGCCATGATCCTCTACGCTGTTTGGCTCATCAGGCAATGGCAAGAACAAACTGGTTCTCTTCCCTTCGCTGACCCCGTTCCTTGGTAATCCTATTTTTTCTTCCCATCTCTTTTCTAATCCTGTTTCTGTTTTTGTTTAGACAAACAAGATTCATAGTTTCTGTTAGCTGTATTGTCTGGGAGCTGTTAGGTTTTGGAAGAGATCATCTTGTTTCGAGAGGAACTATCTTTCATGTTGTCCATTTTTTTGATAAAAATCAGCCATTCCTGATGGAAAACCAATCTCTTGCTATGCAGGTTCATTTTTGCTTTTCTTTGTCTCGGGGCACTTCTCTGTCTTGTCACTTGCGCTGGCCACATCGCTGCTGAAACCATCAATGGTTGTTGTCTTTACTTTGTAAGCTACTTCTTTTTCTTTCATCCTAAGTCCTAACCCATTCTTCTTGCTTCTTTTTTTTAAATGTCAATAATGGAAATTGTTTGTTGGTTCATCCAGTATATGGGATTCATCTTCTTGTTGATTATGGTTGAAGGCGGTGTCATTGCCGATACCTTTCTTAACCCTGACTGGAAACAGGTTCATTTCTCTTTTTCTTTTCATATTAAATCTTCGCTACTCTTAATCTTCTGGAAGCTCTTTCATTCAGGACTTTCCAGAGGATCCAAGTGGCGCCTTCTACCGTTTCTCCAAGTTCGTCGAGTCCAACTTCAAGATTTGCAGATGGATAGGTCTCTCCATTTTCTCTGTCCAGGTCTCTTTTCTTTCAACCCTCTCTGCTTTTTACTCTGCCTTTTAACTTTTGCAATATTTCACAGCGTTCCTCTTTGTTCGTTGTTTTTGCAGGGTGCATCAGTTCTATTGGCCATGTTGCTCAAAGCTCTTGGACCTCACCGACATTATGACAGTGACGATGAATATGATGTGAGCACGGTTCCACTCCTGCGGGATGCTCGCCAGCCACATCCATACGTAGTTGGAGAACCCATTTATGGAGCCAAACCGGATTCGTGGTCTGTTAGGATTAATGAAAGAGCCAACCGGTAAAAGAGGTGGAGACCGAGAGAAGCTTATGAGATGCAAAATAGCTAAGCGTCAGCTCTTTCACTATATTACCTACTTTGCTTTCTTTGTTGCATCTATCTATCTTACTCAAATTCCAACAAACCATTCTCTTGTAAAAATATGTTGCATACACATATACACACATATATGGGGATGTACTTGTGCATTTTAAAAACTACAATATGTGATCAGTTCCGGCCCTCTCTCTCGCTCTCATGTCATGCCCTTCCACAAGCATCAATGCCCACACTTCATGAACATCGTTAGGATTTTTGTGATCTCTGTCGATACACGTTCTGTACCAACTGGTTTGCAACATAATTAAGCGTTTATTTGTTTCTGGCTATAATCTTTACTAGGTAGAGATATAAGTTGAAATAACAATATATTTTCTTATTAGAAACATTAGTGTTATGCTATAATTGATTTTTTTTATTTTTACAGTCTAAAGTGGTTAAGCAACAAAGCATTTGTATTGTTCATTGAAGTATATTATTTGGACCATCGTTATGGCTTAAAAAGTATCGAGAAAGGTTCATGAATTGATATTCCAAATTTAAAACAAATTTTGTTGTTTGACAAACCCATAACTCCAAACAGTTTTTTTGGTAAGCCTATATATGTAGAACCAACAAGTTATTTGACCTTAGATACTCTTTGTACTTTTCGTCTACTTTTGATACCATGTAAGTATTTACATAGTATTTATTTCTCTCACTATATGTTAACAACTTATGATTTTAGTGAAATGAGCAAATACAATATATAAGTTTTGAAATTATTAAAAAAAAAATTGGCATAAGTAGTAGGGAATTATATTAACGTTTTTGTTTCATAAAAACATTGGTCTACATTTTATTTCTTAAACAACCAAAAGTAAATGGATGTAATTGTAAAAAAAAATAGTAAGAATCAAACATCTACGATTGAATGCTATAATCAAATAAACAAACCATGTTCCAGAACCAGAAAAAATAATGATTGCAAGTAAGAAATCATTTAAAGACCGGACTGTAATGATAAAATAATTTAGTGATATAAATTACAGCCATTTAGCCAACTAATGCTTTATTCTCCTGCTTGTTCACACTTACGCCTGCACATTTTAATACCAAACGATTGTAAGACTATACCAAACACAATAAGATAGTGTTAGAGACAATGATAAATGAAGAACCAAAGCTTACGTACTACTCTCAAAAGTTTTTCTCACATTTGAGGACTCCGGTTCATTACTGCTCGAACCGGCTAACTTATACAAAACAACATACACAAACATGTGAAGAAAATACATATCTGGTCTCAAATTTTACTCCCATCTGAGGACTGCAGCTCTCAAACATGTGAAGAAAATACATATCTGGTCTCAAATTTTACTCCCATCTGAGAACTGCAGCTCTCAACTGCCTTTCAATGTTGTAGGTTCTTTAACCGATAAGGTCAGAGAAACAAAACAGAGTCCTTAAAGGCTTAACTCGAGCCTTGCTCGTTCCAGATCACCGAGGCATCCAATGCATTGATCTTTGCTTTGTAGGGTTCTCCACATGTCTCGCTCTCTTTTACGAAACGACTTACATCCCTTATTAATCAAGAAGCATTTTTAATAACAAACCTACTTTAGTAGATTAATAACAATTTTGCCATTATAGCTAACATGGCGAGTTCACAACCCTCCTCAACCAATTAAGCTAATTGACCTTTAATTACTAGGATATTTACAACTATTGCCATGGGTAACTTTATACATTTTTCTTAATGAACGATAACATCTAATGGATACGACAATTTTAATAATAACATGTTGATATCATAAGTCTTTCTTTCCTTTTCTCAATAATAAAGGGCTAATGGGCTAGCAAAACCAACGCTAAACATTGACTATGTTCTTCGTCTGCGCAGCTTTCTCCCAGTCTCGACTTGATTGCTTCTCTGATCTTCCTTGCGTGGTTTCGCTTTCGATGTAAGTTTTTTTCTCAAGCTCGTATCAATCTCAAAATAGATCGCTTTAGCTAGGAATCAAGCAAAAGAGATGAGCTAAGTCTATATGTTCCCATTATTATTGCACAGTCATAACCTAAGTTAGTCGAGAGGAATTTGATCCCGAACTCTTTAGATTTGCAATCAAAATTGATTATGAAATTTTAGGTAACGAAACCCAGAATCATTGCATCGAGTCTATCAAAACCAATATGCGTTAGTTTTGGCAGGTTTTTAAGCATATAGTGCAACAGTTTGATACAAAATATTGCTCTTCTTACAAGTATTCACCAACCTACTGTATGCTTAATTTAATATACCATGTTCTATAATTTATATATAATGTCAGCTGGAAATTATGAACAAACAAAATATATTAAATTTAATTATTTTCCTATCAATAGACTGTACATGCAGACAAACATCTTTATATGGTTATATACATGGTTTCACAACAACAACAAAAAAACACGGTTATATACAAACATCTTTACATGTCTATGTAAGTCGTTTCGTAAAAGAGAGTGAGATGTTTGTATGCATGTCCGGACTATGCATACAAACATCTTTACATGTCTATGCAACCATGTAAAGATATTTGTATGCATGTACGGTCTATTGATAGGAAAATAATTAAATTTAATATACTTTTTTTTGTTCATAATTTCCAGCTGACATTATATATAAATTATAGAACATGTTATATTAAATTAAGCATAAAATAGGTTGATGAATACTTATAAGAAGAGCAATATTTTGTATCAAACTGTTGCACTATATGCTTAAAAACCTGCCAAAACTAACGCATATTGGTTTTGATAGACTCGATGCAATGACTCTGGGCTTCGTTACCTAAACTTTCATAATCAATTTTTATTACAAATCTAAAGAGTTTGGGATCAAATCCCTCTCAACTAACTTAGGTCATGATTGTGCAATAATAATGGGAACAGCTAGACTTAGCTCATCTCTTTTGCTTGATTCCTAGCTAAAGCGATCTATTTTGAGATTGACACGAGCTTGAGAAAAAAACTTACATCGAAAGCGAAACCACGCAAGGAAGATCAGAGAAGCAATCAAGTCGAGATTGGGAGAAAGCTGCGCAGACGAAGAACATAGTCAATGTTTAGCGTTGGTTTTGCTAGCCCATTAGCCCTTTATTATTGAGAAAAGGAAAGAAAGACTTATGATATCAACATGTTATTATTAAAAATATCGTATCCATTAGATGTTATCGTTCTTTAAGAAAAATGTATAAAAGTACCAATGGCAATAGTTGTAAATATCCTAGTAATTAAAGGTCAATTAGCTTAATTGGTTGAGGAGGGCTGTGAGCTCGCCACGTCAACTATAATGAGAAAATTGTTATTAATCTACTAAAATAAGGTTTGTTATTAAAAATGCTTCTTGATTAACAAATTAAGGGACTTTTCTTGTTCCAAGTCTTCATGAACATCAGTGACCCTTGTACGAGCTACCATAACGTCTCATAACCATCGCTGTTAAAGATTCTTATGTAGCGAGTCTTCTTTTAGGTGTTCACATAATCTTTGGAAAAAAAAACATTTTAATAATCCAACACCAATATTGATATTCGAGGAGTAATCTTATTGCCTTGTGGTCACATGGGAGGAAGTGAGTAAAGTCTTCCAATAGTGTAAAAATGTGGAGAAGGAATTAATTGAGAATGTGATTGTGAACTGTAAGATTCGTATATGAACTGTTTCTATTGATACCCCCCTCATCATCTCATGTGACTTTGTAGTCTCATAAAATACAAAAACATCTTTATCTTGTTGTCATTCTCAATAATACAATATGACTTTTCCACTTTGATTAAAGAGTATATCATTCCATTTTTTATTTTTCATTATTGAAGTTGTCAATAATATCTTTCATCAGTCTTTTGCTATTGCACACACGGCATACATACATCCAAGAATCATGATGTATATTAAGAACTTAATTTTATATATTATCACATAACAGAATCTGTCTTTAATTAACCAAAATAAATAATGTGATGCATTCAGTATATTTATATATGTAAGAAAATATTGATCTAGACATTTTTTTCCTACATATGTACGTACAAAATAAGCATATCTACTAATTAAGGACTAGGTTTTAACCACCACTATGGCATCATACTTTATAAGTTGGAGTGTAATTGACGATAGAATATAGTTCATTCCGAAGTTGTATCTAAAAAGAATCGTTTTCATAGTAAATTCAAAAAAGAGAATAAGAAGAGTCTTATAATCAAAAGTAAGGACTGTGGACTGTGGCGTAGGCACTAGTTAGGTGCTGTTCGTTTGCTCACCCAGGTGATCCATCTGGGTGAAGATGCAAATCAATGTTCGTTTTGTACATTAAAATGCTACATCTAGATGGATCACCCAACTGATTTTTTAAAAACTCATCTCAAATTCTCACCCAAACGAGGGTGAGTCTTGATGGTGCATCTGGATGCAGATACATCTAGTTCAGTCCAAAATCATAAATGACAAAAATAACCTTTTAAAATAAATATAATTTTTCAAACCATAAATACTAAATTTTTTTGCAAATATATCTTTCCGTAAAAACCAAAAAATATTTTTTCGCCAAAATCGTAAAAACACGTTTTCACGCCAAAACCATAAAAACGTATGTTTCCGCCAAAACTGCAAAAACGTGTTTTCTCGCCAAAATCGTAAAAACGCGTTTTCCCGCCAAAATACATAAAACACGTTTTCCCGCCAAAACTATAAAACGCATTTTCTATCAAAACCGTTAAAATGCATTTTCCCGCCAAAACCGCAAAAACGCGTTTTCCCGTCAAAACTACAAAAACGCGTTTTCTCGCCAAAACCGTAAAAACGCGTTTTCCCGCCAAAACTGCAAAAACACGTTTTCTCGGCAAAACGGTAAAAACGCGTTTTCCCGCCAAAATTGCAAAAAATGTTTTCCCACTAAAACTGTAAAAACACATTTTCATGTCAAAATCGTAAACGTTAATTTTTCCGGCAAAACTGGAAAAACTCATTTTTCATCAAAATC